TTTGACTGCATTTGTATAGACTTGCGGTTTCGGTCACACCTGCGATTGCATTCTTGTTTAGTTCAGCGGGATTTCTACGAAGAGGACTTGTCTCCTGCAGGCTGGTGAGGAGGCAGCGTCACTTCTGGCAAACGACCAGCTTTCCGTCCGCCCGCTTCAAGTTCTAGGCAAGACTTTCAAAAAATAGTTTTTTTTCTCTGGCCAGTCTACTTAGCTCAGCTTTATGCTCAATAGGGGGGAACACCTCCGAATCCGAAGCATTGGAGAGGCTGGCGGAGATTGCGCGAGGCTTATGCCAGTGAGACCTGATGTTCGGGTTCTTGCGGAGGCTCTTTCCTCCGTTCAAAGCGTGCTTGGAGAGGTTTTACGTTGCTTGCCAGGCCATTGCGCTTGTCTTGTTTTGTTTCGTTGTTTTGGTTCTGGGGGCTTTGCTGCGGGCTGTGGACCCAAGTCAGAGATTGGCATTTCAACTTGTCATCGAATTTGTGTCGTTTCCTCCAGGAGTTCCATGAAGCACATGACTCTGGTGCTGGAGTAGGTTCATGTCCTGAAAAGGGGCCCACGGCGTGCGAGTGTCCTGTTGGCGCTTTTGAGATTGCGGAGGTTCGAGCCTGGTTGCAAGATGTATTAGGCAGGCCTTCTGGTTTTGGTTTGGTTGGGGATTTACCCCCCCCCCCCCAGTGGAAGCTCCATGGGAAGGTAACCTCCGACCTTCCAATCACCATTTCCAACCCAAGGGGAAGCTGAATGCTTGCACCCCATATGAAGAAAGGAACTACGCGCAAAAAAGGGCTTTGCCTCCTTGGCGTGCTAAAAAAAAACACGCCAGGGTTGGCTCATCTGAGCTGAGCTTTGGACCTTTGGGTGTGCCTTATTTGGTCCATAGCTTCCAGTCCGTTCAGTGAGACTAACCCCGTAGGGATCTCGAGCCTGGAATTTTCCTGCCGGGAAAGCTTAGGTAAAATCTCCCACTCACCTGCTGCAAGTCAAACTCTTTTGGGCGGGCGAGCCCGTTGAGCCGTTGAGCAGGCGAGTTGGGCCATGAAGGGCCCGGAAACGCGTTTTTCGCGGGGAATCCCGAGGAGTGAAGAACAACTTGGCCTTGCTGCTGAAGGACCGCGGCGAGAAGGCCCGCTTCGACCTGCAAAAGGCGAGGGGGGGGCGATCTGGGGGCGGGGGTCTGGGGATGTCTGGTGCTGAGCAAGTGAACAATTGTCATGGCACCCGAAAAGAGGTTTCCCCCAAACGGATGCTCTACAGTTAAAAGTGTGTTGTTCCTTCGTCTGGGGGGCCATGAGAATCTACGGAGATACCAACCTATGTGGGGTGCGTCATGTTTCGAGCACCTGAGGCTCACCTAGAAATGTCTCGCGACCTGAGATGTCCTGGCGATTCCTGAGGGTATCCCGCCGAGGGCGGAGGTGCCGTGCTTTTTGGCCGTGCTGGTTTGAGGCGGACGCATTTTCTTCGCCAGCTGTGACTGATGAGACGTTTTCCTCCGGGTTCAAGGGTGGCCTCGAGCTATCTGGCAAGAGGCGTTTGTTTTTGATTGGTGGTGCAGGGCTGGAAGCGCCGTGGCCAAACCATGTTTTCGTTCGATTCGTTCAGCCGCGAGCGCGGCTTTCATCCATGCGTGGGGTCCACAGGCTAAAAATCCAATTGAAGCACGTCTGAAACCAGTATTGCCTCCCTAAATTCACAGGATTCGCACTTGAATTGAAGAGAAGAACCCGAGGAATCAACCGCGAGTGTATCTAATCCTGAACCTTTTGGCTCAACTGTATTGTTTGAGTGACATCCTCCGTGAGTCCTTAGACTCGAGACTCGAGAGGGCGGTATAGGAAGCCGCTGATGTTCTCTCCGCAGTTTTTTTCTGATGTCAGTCTACGATGCTGTTCGGTGTCCCCCTGTAGAGCAGGTGGCCGCTTTTTGTAAGCACGGCCTAAGGAGACATTACATTTGGGCCAGTGATTTCCCCCTCAGAGTAGTTCCCCTTGCAACAGTTCCCTCGCAAAGGATACGTTTCATTTTGCCAGTGAGAAATTCACCAAGTCATCTTCACCAGCAAAGTCCAAAGGATCCCCTTTGGTAAAGCAGGTGGCTTCTGGATCTATCCTTCTACCGGAACCCTGCTACAGTATTTCTTCTGTTTCGTCGGGTTGAAAGGACGCCACCCCCTATGTTTGGAAACCAAAAGGGCTCTGCTCAGGTAATCCCTAGTTGGTGATTTGGATTGGTGTTGGGGATTTAAACCCTGGCTTTTAGAATGGGAACCTTCTCCACCACCAAATCGCCAAATGGTAAGCTGAACTGCAGCCATTTGGGTATGGGTCAAAATTGGGGACCGCAGGTTTTAGTCATTGTTTCCATTTCCCAGGGTGCCATTTAGGGTACCTACTTTTGACCCACACCCATCTTTTCCGTCTCTCAGACCCTGGCCCGTTGACACAGGCGGAGCAGCTCTACCGGGAAGCACACGCCGGCGCCAGCGCCAAGCTGGGCCGGGACCTTAGGGAGTCCGGGCCGTTGCTTGGGCCGTTCCGGGCCCATCTCCCGCGATGGTTGATGTATTCTCCTGGGAAACAATGCAAAACACGCAAGGATAAGACAGGCACGGCACACACAGAACAAGAAACACGATATGCTTTCCCATTTCGATTGGAACCCTGTGAGTAGCAGTTTAATAAGCTAGCACATGGACACCCCCAGTTGCGCAGTTGCCCGCTCAGTTCCTGAGCCTGCAAATGTGTTTGCGATTTCTGTACGTTCAGTTGGGTATGCCAACTCATGGCTGGCGTCTCAACGAATTTCGTTTTCAGGGTCGGCCACTCCCTCCGTGGAAATCGACCAATGTAGCGTTTTGATGCTCTAGGCAAATCGCGAGTTGACGGCGAGGAAGGCCAACACGCGCTGCTTCTTCGTCTTTTTGCAGCAGGTCATGCTTCCAAACCGATTTTGTGTTGTACCCAGTTGCTTAGTGGCACCATCTCTACCAGGGTCACTGAACAAAAGGATTTGGGCGGATGAACGTATGAAACATATTCTCAGAATATTTCTGCGCACCCCCCCATGTCCAAGTTTCAGGATTCTTGAAGGGCACATTTGGCGAAATTGGACACTGCCCTCACCGGCTGTTTCAAAGGGTTTCGACAAGGCATGGACACACGTACGTTATACACGTGCAGATTTGGCCCGGGATGCCAAACCGGCCCTTGTTTGAGGGATCAAAAGTAAAAGGACCCGGGGGTGGCTCCCAGCCATCCCCTTAGCTTTTTAGCTTGTTAGCTTTTTAGTGTTTAGTGGGGTTTTCCATTTAGCCCACTAAAGTTAAACTTTTAGTGGGGGATCTAAGGACAGCTCAGTTTCTTGGATTTCTTGGACAACGGTGTTAGCGACCCCACCTTGCGTGGGGTTTCCTGGGGGCTGGACCTTGCTGAAACGGCCTGGGTTGCTAATTCCTTGAAAAGAGTTTACGGGTGGTCAACTGGGGTGGGGCTACTAGGCAAGAGCTAAGTCCACATGACATAGTGCATGCTGAGGGTTGGGGGCAAACCCAGCATTTGGTTCCCCTCATGTACTGGGAAGCCAAAAGGAGAGGGTTTAAGCCAGGGGTTGAAGCGCCCCCAGCCTGAGTTTTTGCTTGGGTGGGGAATTCCCAGCATTTGGTTTTTTTATGCCTGGGTTTTTGCTTGACGCGCAAAAACGCCGCGCGCCCCCCGACTTCTGGCTGAGCGTTGCGGTGGGTCACTCCATTGGCGGCCAACCCGCCGGCGATGTATGCGGTGCGGGTGGAGCTCCCCTCGGGTGACGTGCATTATGAGGCGCCGCACGGGACGGCAGTGCCGGGTTCCTTTTCCAAGTCTAGGTTCCCCAGTGCCCTTTTGCCGTTTCTTTTTTCGGGGAGGGTTCCCCTACTAAAATAGACTGCCGAAAAAATAGGGTTCCCTTATTGTAACTTTTCTACTGGAGGACCTAGAAGTGGCCTTGGGGTGCATAGTGAGAAGTTTAAACCCTTGAATCTAGGGCAATCTCGGACTTCAGTGCAACCCGGATTGAAAAAGCCAGGCTGACTCCTTCATGAGGCTGCTTTCTTTGGGAGGGTATGTATCGATTACAGGGCGAGTGAACGCCCTAGAGACAGAGAGCGCATGGGCAAAAACTCATTTTTTGTGCGACACCCAGAAGAACGGCAAAACGGAAGTCCCATTTGTTTGGGGCCAGGGCAGTCCTTTGCCAACCACTGATACTCAGGCAGTAAAGCAGCAGGAAGCACATTTCCTGGCAGGTGAGCTTCGGCCACAGGGTAGAACCCAAAACCCCACGGGTATGTACGCCCAAGCTTTCGTGGAACCGACGTCAGGCGGATCACCCGGAGTCTGCGCACGTGGCAGAGATCCTGCAAGAGCTTGCGAAGCGCGAGCCGCCCGCCCGTCGCTTTTTCCGTCGCCGTTCCCGTCTTTTCTTCTGTTGTTTTTTTTGTTTGTTTGTTTTTTCCTCTTTTTTTTCTTCTTTGTTTGTTGTTTGTTCATTTGTTTCTTCCTCTTTGCCGTTTTTTCCCGGTTGGTGGTCAGACATCGGCGAGTCAAAATTGAGCAGCCCATGTTCGCAGTAGTCCTTGGGTTTGGGGTAGAAATGGGGGGGTCAAGTTGGTTGCCAGACTGCAGAACCGAGGGCAACCCACTTTGGGGTTTGACCCGCCAGATGGGTTCCACTGGTTTCGATGGATTTTCGCCGCAGGGGCCGGGGCGGGGCCATCAAGTTTTCCAAAAGGTCACTGGTGACTTATGCTCCAAAAAGAGGGCTCCATTGCCAAGTGGAGATGCCTCCAAAGATATATATATATATATATAGATATATGAACCAGAATCAGGGAAGATCGCGAGTTCGGCCAAGGTGTTTTTTTGGCTTTATTTTTGGGGGTTCGATGCAAAAGGGGGTCAGCCCAAATGGACGTTCTAGAATGTGTACCCTCCACTTTTCTTTGGTGAGCTCATTCATGAAACCAACGCCACGTTTGATTCAGGAATGTGTGAGGTACCCGGCCTGCTAACATGGAACCCACCAGATCCCTTTGAAAGGAACATCGTCTTCCAGAACCGTGACGTCAGGTTCCATTTGTTTGTTGTTCCGGGGGGGGTCCGGGTCCGAGGCGATCGGCGATCTCCAGCTTGTTCGGACGTACGAGCTTGTGATTAAAACAAGGGAATTGGGGGAGGGTGACTTTCCACTGGTCCAAGATCAACGAAACAGGTGGAGACCCTTACCCCCCCTTGCAAGTGGGATGTGTAGGTTTTCGGGGATGTGTAGGTTCTTGTTTCAGCTGGACTTATTGTTAGGTCAGACGCTCAATTCAGTTTGCATAGGTCTTGAGTGCGGGTTGTCAGTCACCAGTGAAACAACCCATCGGTACCCTCCAGCCGGCTGCCTGAAGCCCATGCTTCCAGCCCAGGACAGGGCTGTGTCAGCTGCAGCTGGTGCTGGAAGATTGGCCCTTGGTGCCAAGCTGCGCCCTCCGCGGCTCGGCCAAGCCCAGGAAAAACGCCAAGAAGGGATGCAAGACGACAGGTTTTTGGATCGGCGCGATCGAAGGAGAGACCCGCGTTTCTGCAGGACACCAGTGGGGATTCAACAAAATTCGGGTAATTGACCACCCCGCGATTATGTTTTGCATGTTCGGCATTGCTTGTGTCACTCGCTTTTGCCCTATCGTATTCCGTGCCAAGGGGGGAAGCCCAAGTCACATCAGAGTCATTGACCCCGAAGCCTCGTAGTCCCATTCTAGAATATCCTCATTGATGTCTGCCAGTCACAAGCCGCTCTCCCAACCGACGCAGTCCAGTTCTAGTCTACTTAGCAATGCCTGTGCCTACTCTCGTGTTGCATAATGCCAATTGGCTAAAACGTGAGCAGGTCATGGTAAAACCTTTTCTCCTCATAGTTTGAGAGCGGCTGCTTGACTTGGTTTATGGACAAGATTTGATGTTTTTTGCTGCAATCCACATTGATTTATTTCATGGAAAACCGCGAGAAACATCGTCAATGCATGTTTGGATCACGTAGCTGTGCGTGCAAGCTTTAAAAGTCAGTTTGCTGCTTTCCTGGTACTTGACCCCTGCGCGGCATAGTATACCTTGCGCGTATAACATTTGCTGCAATCTATTATTCCCATACCCAGGTGCATGGGCTTGATGCGCTTCGATCCGAGCGGTCCGCGCTTCAGAGCGTCAGGGCTTAAGATGCGAAGATGCCGAGCCTCGGAGCTTCGGAAGCTTCAGGGCTCACGCGAAGACGCCGAGCTTTGTGGCTTCGGAGCTTCGTGCGACTCAGAGGGCTTCGCTTGAGAAGCCACGGAGACGGCGAGCTTCGGAGCTTCAGAGGCGAAGAGACACTTCGAGCCCAATCTCCGAGCTTGCGCGAGGTTCAGAGCTTCAGGGCTTCAAGTCAAGTCAAGAGCTTCACGCTCTCCAGGGAAACCGCTGGAGCTTCAGAGCTCCAGGGAGGTCTGGGAAAGACCAACGCGGCCAGATTTCCGTGTGGTTTTTGTTTTTAAACATCGCACCAGTAAGGGGTAGCCGCCAAAAAACACTTCCCACCTCTCTCTTGCCCAGGGTCACTGGCGCCCCCCGGGCACCTGGTCCTGAAGCTTTGGCGGGATCCCTTCCAGCTGGAGAGGGCCACCGGCGCCCACGGGCCCGGAGTCAGGGAGCGCCGTGGCTCCATCAGAGTCTGCGTTTTGTCCTTTTAGAGGGGCGGAAAAAGGGCGGCGGGCCTCTGTAGTTAAACAAGGCCTGCCAAAAATGTGCCCTTCCCCTTCTCCATTCTTCCATGGACATGGAGCTTCTTCCGAAAGGCCCTGCAAAAGGCGTGAGTTTTCTAAGTGGTTGGATGGTTGGCTGGCTTGCTGTTCGGCAGGTTGGGGGCCAGTTGAGTTACTTCTGGTGGGTTTGGGGCAGGCTGTTTCTCAGAGCTCAGAGCATGGTAGTTCAGAAAAAGACCAGGATTCCGCTCTTAATTGGGATGCCTTTATGAGTCAAGCAGTTCGGGTCTGCTGGCTAGTGCCGCGCTAGAGTGGATTGGATTGACTTGGGGTTGCTCAAGTCTAGATGGTCGGCTGCACGCGTTGGGTTGGGAGCATTTAGCGCGGGTTTCAGGTGGTAGGGCTGGCTGTCGGGACTGCGCAAGCGGAGGTTAGGCTTGGTCAGTTGGCATGCAGGGTGGGCTTTGCTACTTTTGGACGAGCTTTCGGTACTAGGCCAAAAACCAAAAGCTGAAAACACCCACCTTAACAAAGTGTAAACCTAGGCTAAACAACCTGAAGACCCAAGACACACTGCACATAGGGCAGTGCTCTCCTGGCTCAAAAGCACCCACGGGTTTTGGGACTTGAACATTTTTGGGCAGGTCTTTTGGTTGCAAGTGAGGCTTTTGTCGTGTGTCTATGGTTCATTTGGGAGACTGGGGTGTGGGAGCTGCTCGAAACTTCAATCGCTGTGTTGAGTG